AGTCGTTTAAAAGTTGCAAAACAAAAATTTGAAATGGCAACTGAAGTTTTATATGATCTCTCAAACAAAAACAATCGTGTTGAAATAGATACCGTTCTGCCATGCTCATCGATACAAAAAGAGCCTTCAAAAAAGAAATATAAGAAACAGTTAAGTTCAGCACTACTCAAGATATCAAATCTTAAAAAAAAATTGATAGAAGCAAAAAATCAAATTGAAATGCTTCAAGCACAAAATAAAATCTACAATAAACATAAAAATAATTTTAAATATTCTGAATTACTTAACCAGCCAATTGTTTTTAAGTACTTATGTGGACTCACAGTTGAACAATTTAGTTTACTTTTAATTTCTGTTGAACCATATACTCACTTAATTCCATATCCTGACTGCAAGAATAACTCTAATAGAAGATTGATCGAATTACCGACTGAACTGTTATCTGTTCTTACAACATGTCGACATGGACTCAATCAAGGAGTTATGGCATACATTTTAAATATATCAAAGTCAACTACTCAAAGAATATTTATAGGATGGGTATATTTCTTTCAACCATACTCAATGAAATCAATTTAAAGCCAGAATCTGTTTTTTTGTAAAAAAAATGCCAAAAAGTTTTATTGAAACTGGACATGGCCTCACTGATTTAATTATTGATGTAACTGAGTTTAAATTCCAAAGTGCTTCAGACTTTGAGCTAAATTCTTTGTTGTTTTCTAATTATAAGAATACCCAAGCAGGAAAAGCTTTGATTGGAATAGTACCACACGGTGGTGGCATATTATTTAGTGATATATATCCAGGCTCTATCTCAGATTCAGATCTAACAGAAAAATCCGATACTATTCTGTTTGTAGAGAAAGATCATGAGATTATGAGTGATAGAGGTTTTTCAATACAAGAGTTTTGCGCAATGAAGGGAATAACATTAAATCGTCCAAAACAGAAAGATTATGATCAATTTTCTCAAATTGATGTGGCCCGTAACTTTGACATAGCTTCAACACGTATTCACATTGAAAGGTACATTGGAAGTATACGGGATTGGGGAATTATGAACACTGTGTGGCCCTAGAATATAATGGATTTATTATCTTCAACATGGCAAATGTTAGCACACATAAATTTAACAATGCCTCCTATAGGACCATAAAAATAGTATTTAACAAAATTGCTTTCATTATATAGTTTAATTTATTTCTCTTAAAACTTGTAGGTCAATTATATATTATAATTATATTCAGCAACTTTAAATGTTATAATAAAATACTAAAATCCAATTCATCAACAAAATAAATAATAGGTGCTTTTTTAGCAATTGTTTTAATTACTGTTCGCAATGGTTTAAGGGTAAAAAAATCTGGAAGTTGACCAGTTATAGCTTTCGAGAAATTATTTAATTCTTTGATTTCCATATGATCCCATTTTATTATCTTATGATTGTGATAGATGGAATCTACAAGCTTTTTGATAATTTGCATTACTGTGCAATTACGACAAACTAGAAAAAAATTTGAAGGTTCTGTTTCAGGGTGGTACGACTGTAAAACGCAATATTTTGCATCAGTGCATAGCATTTGAATTTGGCATTGAACATAATATAGTGGATAATCACTAAGAGATGTTAAAAGCCCATCGGTAAATTATGCACGAGTTTTCACTTCTAGTAAAATCCCGCAAGGACCTAAACCATCAGGGCTGCATCCATACTTTTTATCAAAAGGGTGATCAAAGAATCCGCATTTTTCAATTTTGCATTTACTAATTTTTTCAAAGTTTTTTATTGCTATTTCTTCATAAAAGATACCCCGTTGAATATTTTTTATATAACTCATATCAGGGGTGCTAGTACCATTTTTGACGACATCCCAAATCAATGAATATTGTACATTTCCATACATCCCTCGTAATGCTAGTAGTCGACTTGCAGTAATTTTAAACTTTCTGCACTCATGCCACTCATTGGTACCTTGCTTTACATCCATATAGTTACTACCATAATGCTTTGGTGATTTCAAAAAACTTAAGTCTATTTTAATGTTTTCAATATTACTTTTCAGCTGCTCGTTTATTTCATTATGTAGTGGTATGTTTTTGCAATTTTGATAGTCTAGATCTGTTGTTTCAACTTGAATTTTTAAAGTATTCTGATTTATTAAAAGAATTTTAAAAGAATCATTTTGGTGTATATTTACATTTGTACTTGTGCGAGTTTTAATTATAGATTCATTATCTACATAACATTTTGTTTGCTCTATTTTTTCATTTTCTACTTCTATCACACTTTCATCAAACAATTGTGATTTGCAATATTCATGATCAGCTAATCCAAAAGCTGTTTTTAATGTATATTTGTAATGCAAATGTTGTTCAACAGAAGTCTGTATCCCAAATGTTGAATTAATTAAAACAGAATAAATATGTATTTCAATCGGTTTTTCCTTTTTCAATTGTTCTTTTAGTTTTTTTACAATCAAATTTAAATCTCTTTTATAATTGTTTGAATTAGGATCAGCAGGAGATATTTTTAATTTACCATCTTTTTTTTTAATTTGGCTGATTTTGGTTTTATGTTTTTAAGTGGAACCATAGGTATAGACCCTTTTGTAGACCGTTTGTGTCATTTTTGTAGTTGTTGTGTGCACGACATTTCTAAAATTTTCTCATTAGTTTCAAAATAATGTTTTAAATATAATAAAAGAGCTAGAATATGACAACACAATCCACGAGAGCCTATCGGACAACTACAATATGCTCGTTTAGGAGTTATGTTTTCAAATAACACAACAGCAGGTCGTATGTCAGTACCATACAACTTTTTAATCATTTCTTGGACATATATTACATTATTATACTGCAGTGATTTCACTGAAACGATTTTCCTGCTTTGTAGCATTCTTACAGCTTTTTCCTGTTGGCCAATATTTCCCTGCTTTTTATATGAACAATAATTTAAAAATGTTTCCTCGTTTACAAGAGGGTACAAGGTTTCATCAGAAGACTATTTGATGTTACTTGAGGTATATATAACGGGTTGAGACTGCATTCAAACGTATAATTCCTTTTTGCTTTGTCTCTCGATCGTTTGACTAAATTTGGATACAAAGAAAACTTTTAAATTTTTAGGCGCAACTCTTCCAATGTTACTGATACTGATTGCCCAGTTTCTTTGAGCCACATCATACATTGTATTTTATTTAAAAAAATTAAATATTATCTGACATTTTATAACTTTAAACGTAAATAAACATTTTCAGTAAAATACCATAATAAGTAGATTTCACAATTAATATAAACCCAATTACTTTTAACAACTCGTTTTTCGCTTCTCAATCAATCATATTTTCAATATGACTTTTAAATTAAGCCACTGTTTTTATTTAAAAAGATTTGAAGTTTATATAAACAAAACTTTCAATAAAAATCAGACTTAAAACGGTTTTGTTGTTATTTATAAAGGTACCATTTTTATTTTTTTCCCTACAAACCGCGTTATATGAATTTGGCTAATTGTACTTCTTTCTTTGTTAGATAAAGACGTTTCTTACAAAGAAAAAAGTATGATTTTCTCTGCTATGCTTCAATATGATCTGGCAAACTCTGATTATTTTAAAATTGACACTAGATTGCTCATTGAAGTGGAAAACAAGATTAGTATTGATCAAAGAGTTTACAATGATCCTTTAAGTTTATTATTACTAGTTGATCAATTCTCCTATTTGATGTTTGATAGAATTGGGTTGGATAAACAAAGGATTAGAGATTGGTTTGCCCTCCCACTTCAGTATTGGTGCACACATTTTGCTAAATCTCAAGTTGTTGTAAATGATTCTTCTGAAAGAGCAATAGAAATGATGCAACAGTTTGTTCACAGATAAAATAAAAAAGAATAAATTCAGAACAAACTACTTACTGTTGATAAAGCTAAATTTACTACAAAAAGGCAGGGGAAAAAGTCGTCAAGTTTGTCTAAGAAAAAGTCAATTGACTTTCTAAAATGGAAAAAATGGTTTAAAAATGATGGATAATCAGACAAATTTATTTTAACGAACTTTAATATTATTTTAAATAACTAATAATCAATTAAAAATAAATCTTCATTCATTAAAAAATTCAACTGTAACTATACTTATAATTCGCTGTAAAATAATTCATTTTTTTGCAATTTTTAACACTATTTAACACAATAAAACAGCAAAAGTTAGCAAATTCTGCTTTAACTACCCTATCTAGTTGAAAATATACATCAATACCTATCTTATAAAAAAAGGTCAGTTCAAAATTTTGATATAATTACCTCCCCCAAGCCTTACAAATATAGTCATTTTTGGACTATTTTTGTTGATTAAAATGGGTGTAGGGGAGTCACAATATTGGTCCGATCAGGCTAATTTTTTCCTAATTAAAGTTAGTTTTAACACCAATGTCCCATATTTCAAGGGGTAGTTAATTGAAATTCAATGATTTCCTCAAAAGCAAGTACTCTAATATATATATATATATATATATATATATATATATATATATATATATATATATATATATATATATATATATATATATATATATATATATATATATATATATATATATATATATATATATATATATATATATATATATATATATATATATATATATATATATATATATATATATATTAGAGATAGAATATTGAGTTTGAGTTATATGGCCTCTGCAACATTTTCTACATAAGAAATATGCTGGTGAAATAAAATCATGGGTAAAAACCTATCTATTGTTCTACACTGCGCGACATAATGATAAGACACAAAAAAATATTTATAAAACTCTACTATACATTTATATATTTTTTTATAATAAACTTTAATTTATTATATACTAATTTTTATTGTAAATGAAAGCAATGGTTTTATAACACTAAACAACATTTTAACAAATTTATTTTTAAAGTAACAAGCATTTTATAAAAATAACCCATTTTTTCAGTGCGACAAAATTATAAGACACTTTACAAAAAACGTTTTATTTTGTGGGCTATTAAGAATATTAATTTGATGTCAACACCACAGACGGTTTTTTAACTTTAAACTTTTGTGAACTGTGAAAAGAAAAAAGTGCTCACTAATTTATCGAAAATGGAAAGCCGAACTTTGATTAAAAACTACGTTTGTAGTCCTCATATATATAGAATAAAAAAAAGTCCCGGGCGTCCATCAACATTAAGTGACCGTTATAGACAAAAATTTTTGAGACAAGCTTCAAGTTTTTCATTAACTGCTCGTCAAATTGCTGCAAAAGCAGGTGTGATTGCTAATTTACGTACCGTTCAGCGAGTTATTGATAATGTTTTTCACCTTTTGCGCAAAAACTTCAGGGAAAACCACCTTTGACAACAAATTACATAAACAATTCAATAACTTTTGCAACCACGTAACATGGAAAGAAGAGTGGCAACTAGTAGTACTTTCTGACGAAAAACGATTTTGTCTTAATAGGCCAAATAGATAGAACTATTATTTTCACGATTTGTGTAAAGAACCAGTACCACATCAACAACATCAAATGGGTGGTGGTGGTTTAATGATTTGGTGTGCAATTGGGTATTATGGTAAATCAAAAATTCAATTTATTGACGATAAAATGAAGGGTAAGGGTTATCTAACAACTTTTCAAGAATTTTAAAGACGTCAAGCATTTGTATTAAGTGGTGAAAATTTTGTTCTTCAGCAAGATAATGCTAACGTTCATACAGCTAAGATAGTAAAAAAATATTTCAACAGCAAAAAAATTGTAACATTGAAGTGGCCAGACCTTAACATTGTTATGAATGCTTGGTCACAGCTGCCACATATAGTGTTTGAAGGTGGTAAGCAATATATATTTTACTAGCTGACTTGAAATCATCCATAGCATCTGCATGGGATGCAATTGACATTTTCTACATAGAAAAGTTGTATTATTATTTACTTTTCAAAATGATTGAAGTGATTCAAAAACACGGTAAAAATAACCACAATTGATTTTTCTAAATTGAGACGTCTTTTCATATAAATGACAATTTATATGAATTTTGTCTAAAAGTGTTTTATAATTTTGTTGCACTAAAAAAACAGTTTTTTTTTTTTTTTAATAAAATGCGAGTTACATTTAAAATAAATTTTTTAAAATGTTGTTTAGTCTTGTAATCCATTTACTCTTATTTACTATAAAAGTTAGTTTTCAAGTATAAATGTATAGTAGAGTTTTATAATTATTTTTTGGGTGTCTTATCATTATGTCGCGCAGTGTATTTAATAATTACAATGTCATTTAATATGATCTAGTTAAACTAAAACATTTTTGGAGTTTTTGTTCAAAGTGTTATGTTTCTATTCGAGACTCAAACATACCAAATAGAAAGCAAAATTTTATACGCCATTTTTACCACTGTCAGTTTTCATCAAAATTATACAAATAGCATTATAGTTTTTAAAACTGTATAAAGGCATACCCAGTGGGCAAGGACAAAAAAAAAACGTTTTTTAAACGTCTTATTCACGTTTTATACGTCTTTTGAACGTCTTTTGAACGTCTTTTGAACGTTCAAAAGACGTCTTTTTTGGTCAGGTGCTCACTGGGTAGAGTATTCAAAGGGTTTTCAGTAGAAAAAGAAATGGAGTCAATTATCTTTTAATTTAGCTAATTTATGGGGCTTCAAAGTTAGGAAATTAGAGGAATCATTTTTACTTTTTTGAAGAGATTTTTTTTTGAATCTTTCAGCCTATGATAATTTTTGTATCTGGAGTTATATTTTTTGCTTAATAAAGTCATTAGGATACAAAAATAAGGGAAAATGGAAACATGGATTGCTTACTGCTTTATTTATTGTATTTTTAAGTAACAGGTTTGCTTGAAGACAATAAAAGTTTGAGTCATAGTAATGATTTTAAATTGCTTTGATGACATTTTAATACACTTAAATTTCTTTTTTTTATGTTTTTTGAGACCTACAATTATTACTTGATTAAAATTTTATTATTTTTTTTTCAAGTAATTTATATTGAAAAAGGTTTCCATTTCTAATTTGTTGTGATACTTTAAACGTTTGATAAAATCACATAAGATAAAGTTAAAAAAAATTCCTATTAAGCTGTTATAAAAAGAATTATTCCTAGCAAACATGGTTAATAACAAAAAACATGGTTAATAAAAAAAAAATGATTAATAAAAAAATGAATAAATAGTGGTTTTAGCATATGCACAATTCAAAAAAAGAACTTATATAAAAGATTTATATAATATATAAATAACCTTTTTTACAAATTTGCTCAATATTTTGTAGCACCTCAAATAAATAAAACAAATTAAAAAAAAAGGAGTTTAACTGATCTTTATAAACCTGCAGAAACTATAACTTTTGGAGCGATATGTTGTCACGGGCCAATATAACTGTGATAATTTATTAATATTAATTTGCTTATTTGTTCACTTTGGATTTTTTTATATTTATAAAGTAAAATAAAAAAGAATAGAAGATAGTTACCTAGCTTTATCACATGCAGCTTGCAAAGTCATATTTTGTCTCTCAGCAAGTTGCAATTTATTATCTTCACTTAACTCGTTATACTTTGGATGATTTTCCAACGATATTAAAGCTTTTTCTGAGAAGTATTCAATACACTTACTTTCTAGGTTTTTTAACTGAAACTCTTGCGCAGTAATTAACAGCTCAAAAGTTGGTACTTTCTTCAAAAGAAATTCTTCGCATAAATTATGAATTTTATTTATCTGGTATTCACGTGACAAAATTAGCAAACAATCAATATTAGTTTTATCTAGAAAAAATAATTAAAAGATGAGAAAATGATAACTATTTTCTTACAGTTTGCGAAAAATAAAGTTACTATTTTGTTTAATATAAACTTGTGACTCATTTATATAATAAATCAAATATACTATCATATTTATTAAAAAAAAAATAAAACTAAAAATATTTTGTTTTAAAATATTAAATAAAGTATTTATTTCAATATTGCTGAATGCTTAGGCTGTTTATATGAGTAATATAATATATGTTACTCATACAGGCAGCATAAATATTCATGCCAAATATGATATTTTTATGATTAAATATGATATCATTGTTAAAATATCTTTAATTTAATCTAATATATTATTATATATATAATTTTTTGTTATTTAGGTGCCCCAAGAAGACCTAACGGTCTTGTAACAGAGCAAATGTATTTTGACTGTTCTTCAGCACGTTGTATTTTATATAAATGCAATTTGTCGTTGTTTTTCACAATTAATGTTTAATTAAAGTTTAGATTTTAAAAATTAAAATAGCGGCTAATTAATAAGGGTTTAAAGTTATGACAATAACTTTAGCAATTAAGCAAAGAAATATGCACCTCAAGAGAAGCTTCTTTAGCAATCTAGCTATCTGAAAAAATAAAAACTGTTAATTATTTTTATAAAAGTAAGTTCAACAATAATATTAGGGTTTGCAAAAACTGCTGATTTTTCCAACACAAGCATAACACGATTTTTTTAAATGTCTTACTGCTTTACTATGAAACTTTACTATAATAATGTTGTATTTCATTAAAAAGGAAAAACTAAAATAGAAATAGTTAGGTGAAGAGTAATTAATGTAGAGAAAAATTAACGCAGTTGACTTATCTATGTAGTTTGACTCAAATAGAACAAACTATGCAAGTTTCTTAATTTATCAAAATTTATGCACTTAAAAAAAACGAAAGGTTTATTTACCATTGTATAGTTTATTTAAGAATGTGAAATGTTTACTCATATTGCATGATGGTTTACAGTCATATTTGTTTATTTTCTAAACATCGCTGTTAGCGTTAAAAGAAGTACTTTATTAAACAAATTGATTAAATTTAAAAATATTTATTGATTATTCATTTTCGCAACAATCAGTGTATTTTAGTTGTATCCTAAAATAATCATTATATTGACAATATCGACAACACTTGTTAAATAAATGTCTTGTCACAATGTTAAATAAAAGTCTTTTACGTTTTCTATCACTATTTAAAAAACAAAAAGACTTCTTTTGATCTTACTGCTTGTTGCATTACTCAAACTGCTTATCATTACGTTGAAGTGATTTTCATGTTACACTACATAAAAATGCATTTACATATCATTTGGAATTAATATATTAAACTTATAAAAGTTTGAGTAAATTACAAGTTTCATAAGAAGGTAACTTAAATATTAGTAAAGTATGCGTTAAACCTCCGACCTCTTGTTTAAATAGCAACTTTTTTAACTTCTAAATGCCTGATTTTTATTTAATCTTTTAATAAAATCTTGGAAAATGTACTTTATATGTGGTTTGCAATCTTTGCATAAGCTTTTTACCGGTATTCATGACAAGGAAACCTTTAGATTTAATTAATTCCCCGCTTCTTCATAGTTATTCTGTAAATTTTTGGAAAGTTTTCAAAACATTTTAAACTATGTGAGCAGGTTTTAAAGAGTATAAATTTAGTAAACTATACTTTTTATACTTATGTATACATAATTTAAACGCTTTGCGTTCCTTGACAATGACCATGTCCACTTGTTCACTATGCAATAAATATTTATACAATAAATAATTTAAAACAGAAGTATTCAATTAATCAGAAAATTTAAACATATTATAATGTTTGAATATTTTATCTATATATTTAATTGTTAATTATTTTGCATTTTTTTAATAAAGTAATTCAAACAAATAAAATCTTTGAAAATAATAAACTATTTTAAAGCATTTTTCAAATGGTTGTACCTGAAATCTGGTGTCCAAATGGATATATATAGTTAAGCATTTCTTGAATATTCTCTTTGTTTTTATTTGGCAGAGATATGACGCGTTTATTTTTTTCAACAAAGTTATCTGACTCTAACAACACCTTGAATACGGGCGAACTCGATGATAAAACGTAGCGGTGTACGTAAAGTTCTTCGCCTTCAACCAAAAATGTTATATCAAATTTTTTGTTAAATTCCCAAAAGCTTTTGTCCATTTAAACTAAAATGTTATAATAATAACAGTTCTTATTACCTAAAACTTATAAAAAAAATAGAAATAAATCAAATAATATAAAAAGATTTTTAAAAATAGACTAAAAATAATTTTTCCCTCATCAATAAAAAAACTTTATAAAAATATTATTTACTTTTTGTTACAATTTTAGTTGCAAAAGGATTCAAAAGCAAAATAAGAGAATAATATTAAACCAAGCGTAAAAGCGTCTGGATGTGCAAAAACAGTTTAAATATGGAGTTTAGGTTATTCAAGCGTAAAACATCAGGATGCACAAACAATGCAAGCAAGTAAAATTAGGTCATGCGTAAAGTATTTACAAACAATATTAAAAAGGATTTATTTGCACGTTGACAATTATATTCATTGCGATGAAACCAATCTGTTGGTTGCCCAGTCCTACATCTTGAAATATGTCCTACACCGTGAAATTTGTATTAATAATATGGATTTGTATGTTCCGTACAATAATATTTGATTTTATAAATATTTTGACCTTTTGAAGATAGAGTTTACATATTATGCAACCGTTAGCTATATATTTGAATAATCAACCTTCTTTACTGGTTAATTGGACTTTAGAAGAAGTATGTGTTTTTAGTAGATTAGGTACATGTTTAAATGCAATTAATGGCTAGAAATTAGAAAAAAACCTCCTTTACTCTTTCATTTAAAGACAGATATTAAAAGGTTCGTTCCGGTAATAAAAGCTTTGCAGTTCAAACTAGTGTAAAAAGTTGTAGTTAGAGAAAATAATTTCTTTAGACTGATTTTGGTGAGCAAGTGTTAAGATTTTTGCAATATAAAATAGGTTTTCAAATACATTATCAATATATTCACATTATTATTGCTACGATTTTACTTCTGCTAAATGTTGTTTTTCCAAACTGTAATCAGAGGTGAAAACAATTAATCTTTTAGTGAAATTATAATAAATCACATTAAAGAACTGTTGTAGTTTAAGTAATCATGAATATAGATTTCTTGATAATTTCTATGATAATTTTCAATTTTTTTTATTGCTGCTTTAAAGAATGATTGATATGTCTAAGAAATTAGTAACCTAATTTGTTACCATCTGTTAAAAATTCTTTACCCAGATTTGTTATACCCAGAAAAAAACGTTCTTTAGAATTTTTATAAACTTTTGAAACATATAGCCTATAGAAATTTTATAGAATTTCTACAGAATGTCTATTAATGTCTATAGAAATTGCTGTACAACTTTTTTATATATAGAAAAAAAAGTAGAAATAAAAGTTCTATAGAAATTCCAATAGAAATATACAAAGGTTCTATAGAAATTTTATAGAATTCTTTAAAATTTCTATAGGCCTTATGTTTCAAAAGTTTATAGCATTTCTATAGAATTATTTTTCCTGGGTAAAGCTAATTGAATTATCTAACTTTTTTAAAGAATAGTTAAACTTTACAATGTTCATGTGCTCTAGCCAGATTATGAAATCATCATCAATATATCTGTAATAAGACTGTTGTGTGTCATTGACTTCTTTTAAGGAAAAGTACTTCGGTAAGACTTAAAAAAAAAGGTACATTATTTATATATATTTTTAAAATTAGTAATTTTTTAATCGGGCTTCAAGGTTCAAGATAATTGTATAAAATAATTTTTTCATATTTTATGAAGCTGTCTTTCTATTTAACTTTTTCCCTTTTCTTATTTTTATTTCTTATTTATTTCTTACTTATTTCTTTCTTTTTCTTACTTTTCTAACGTCATTAAAGTGTATAAAATAAAGTTTGTAAATTATACACAGGGTTACTGTTAGTAAAAGTTTTATTAATGGTTTGCTTAAGTTTCGTAAAATGCATATTCATTCATTTTTTGATTGTTCAACTTACCCTACACTTTTGCTCAACTTACCCTGCTGGGGCAGGTTGAGCAGCTCCGCAAACTTTAAGCAATATCTTTTTAAAAAAAATCAGAAAATATTCTTTTTTTCTTAACAAATTTTTAACAAGTTAAATCTTTCAAAAAGTGAAATATTTATGTTATTCTGACGCACCATTCATGAGATCTGTTAGATTTAGTAAAAATTGCTCAACTAGCTTCGCTCTTTCCTTTCTTTGTCTGTTCCACTGTTTTGGTGGAACATTTGATCATAAATAAAAAACAATTTTTTTTGAAAAGAAAGGTTTTTGATTATATAATAAGTTTACGATTAAATCTTTTCTCTATAGAATTCTAATATCTTATGATCCAAAAGTTAAATCTATTATCTTATGATCCAAAAGTTAAATTATGATCTAAAAGTTAAAATACATAGATTGTGTGCTATTAAATAGATAATGTAAGTCACATGTCAAATACAACTTTCCGAATTGCGCGAACTAAATGCTCTTGGTAGAGTAGGGTGGGGTAATGTTGGTCTAAAGGGTAATGTGTATCTAATCAACATTTATCAGATTTTCAAAAGAAAAGTTTAGGTAGAACTTATTATTTCTGTATGTTATAGGTGGTTAAAACAGCTCTCTAAATTTTAACTATCTGATTGTTGGTCAAACATTTTTGGGTGGGGTAATGTGGGTCTATATGTCAATGTGTTTTGTACTATCAAGAACCTAATGCTTGTGCAACTAATATATAACATTTGCAAAACCAGCACAATAGGGGTGTGTGACACCCCTCCCTCCCCATTAATGATTTTTTCGTTCATTAAATTGGCAAATTTGACCCTTTTTGACTAGTTAGTCGGCAAATGTAGACCCTTTCGACAAGTTAGTTAGTAAATTTAGACAATAAGTCGGCAAATGTTGTTATGGCAGTCGGCAAGTTTTAAAAATTGAGGACTTTTTTTTTATGGTCGGCAAAAGTTGTAATGGCTTCTTATTCAGAAAGTGTTTAGAGATCATGTACAACTTGTTTCCAAAGCTTCTCATATTTTCTATGGCATGGAAGCACGTCAAAACTTATTGTGGGTAAAATTCTATTCAGAAAGCATCAAAAGAGTTCTTCGTTTAAATGTTTATTTGTGCCTAAATAAATTTTTGTTATAAAAATTTACATAATGAGTTTATGAATAAT